AGAAGCCATCTCGATAAGCATAGCTTGATTAATGATACTCAGCATGAATTCACAAGAGGCCAGTCTTGTCTAACTAATTTATTAACTTTCTTCAGTAAAGCTTTTGAGGCTGTTGACCATGATAAAGAATTTGATATTATTTACTTAGATTTTAGTAAGGCTTTTGATAGAGTTCCAAAGACTGTTAAAGAAAGTGGCAGCTCATGGCTTTGGGAAAAGGGTGCTCTCGTGGATCGAATCATGGCTCACAGACAGGAAGCAGAGTGTATCCATAAATGGGGTTAAATCCAAGTGGGGATCAGTAACACGTGGCATTCCACAGGGATCAGTCTTGGGCCCATTGCTGTTTATAATATATATCAATGATCTTGATGAAGGAATTACTAGTGAGATGAGCAAATTCGCCGATGACACAAAGATAGGTAGGATAACTGATTCAAACGTAGATGTTAGGGAACTTAAGAAGGATTTAGACAAACTCTATTCTTGGTCAGAAAAGTGGCAGATGCAGTTCAATGTAGATAAATGCAAGGTTCTGAAGCTCGGGAGTGTCCATAACCCTAGCATTTGTACGTTAAATAATGTAGAAATCGTAATGACACGATTGCAATCGTGTCATTATGATTTCTTAAGTCATGTTGACGGCAGTGAAGGGACTTGAGCTAGAGTTCGTCACGGCCACGCTAGCTGGAGATTCGTCTGTAAAAACTTGCATATGTGGTCACAGAGGTGCCTGTGCTAACCTTCCTATGGTGTAGAAATATACCTAGTTGGATGAATCTTATTGTGGCTAGCTGGTCTAGTGGCTAACGCGACGGGCTGGAGTTTTGAGACTCTATGACCGCGGGTTCAATCCCGGCCGGGGGTATGGTTTGTTTGCAATCGTGTCATTACGATTTCTTAAGTCATGTTGACGGCAGTGAAGGGACTTGAGCTAGAGTTCGTCACGGCCACGCTAGCTGGAGATTCGTCTGTAAAAACTTGCATTTGTGGTTACAGAGGTGCCTGTGCTAACCTTCCTATGGTGTAGAAATATACCTAGTTGGATGAATCTTATTGTGGCTAGCTGGTCTAGTGGCTAACGCGACGGGCTGGAGTTTTGAGACTCTATGACCACGGGTTCAATCCCGGCTGGGGGTATGGTTTGTTTGCAATCGTGTCATTACGATTTCTTAAGTCAAGCCAGGAAGTGTTTATCTATATGAAGCAGAAATTCAGTGCCTACTTTTATCCCTTCAAGAACATTGTTGTTGACGCATCCTTGATTCTGTTCAAGGGACGCTTGTCATTCAAACAATATATACCGAGCAAACGTCATCGCTTTGGTATAAAACTTTTTGTTATGTGTGACTGTGAGAGTGGTCTTGTGTTGGACGTGACTGTATATACAGTACCAGGAAAAACACACTCGACGATACCAGGCGCATGTTGGGCATTTCTGGTGATGTTGTTCGAAAAATGATGGAACCATACCTTGGCAAGGGCCATACATTGTACACAGACAACTGGTATACCAGCCCTATGCTCGCTGATTTCCTATGTGTGAACAATATTGATATATGTGAAACAGTGAAAAGGAATAGAAAACATATGCCAAGGTTCAGTGGAGGCAGTATTGAAGGTGCAGTGCAAGTGCCAATGACATCATGGCACTGACGTGGCATGACAAACGGGACGTGACATTGCTGTCAACCATCCACAGAAACGAGATGGTACAAACAAAGTGAACAGGGAGACCAATGAATGTATTGTCAAGCCATCTGCTGTTGTCAACTATATAAACAATATGTGACTCGCTGACAAGTGTGACATGATGATAGGGTTCGTTGACTGTGTGCGTAGGAGTCGCAAGTGGTATATAAAACTGTTTTTTCACCTTCTAGACATTGCAGTGCTCAATGTATTCAATATGTACGAAATAAAGACTGGAAAACGACAACGTTTTGCAAAATTCTCCCTGAATGTCGTAAAACAGATAGCAAAAAAGTATGGTACCACACCTGTACCTGCCCCTCAACAGTGACCTGTCACACCACAACCTGTCCCCCAACCACAACCACAGCCAGTGGGGGAAGTGCCAGACTGAATCATCCCTAACTGTCACTACTTGGTACCAATACCACCTACCCCAAAGAAGCAGCATTCCCAGAAGAAGTGTGTTGTGTGTGCTACCACCACAAAACTACCCCAACAGCAGAAGGACACACAATACATTTGTAACCAGTGTGGGGTGGCACTCTGTATGAATCCATGCTTCATGGAGTATCATACAATTGTGGAGTTCTAGAAACATAAGTGGGACATGTAAATACTTGTATATAGTTGTAGATAATAATGAGTGATTCAGCCAGGTGTGCAAAATCACCTGTCAGTGTGTACATGTGTGTCTGTGACAATATGATAATAATTCTGTATATATTATTGGTGTATAAGCAACAATTAACATTGAAATCAAAAGAATTACTGTAAAACATAAGAATCATATCATGAAAACCAAGAAAAGTAAAAAAAAAATGGAAAAAAAAAAAAAGGTAAATATGCAGAGTTTCTGCAAGCGGCAGCGCTCCATGTTGCTGTCAGGTGATTGCCAAGTGCCAACTTCACGGCCTCATATCTCGGTAAGTACTGACCCTAAAAAACTTTTTTATCCTATAACACTTAGAAAAATGTGCACTTCTTTTCTATAAAAAAAAAACTATTTTTTTATTTTTCAAAATATTCAGGACACTGGGGTAGTGAACGTATATATGCGTTTGGACCGTTTACAGGTTAAAAAGATACCAGAAATGTTATAAATGGTGCAAAGGTGACATTAAAACAATATCGAAGATGACTGACACAAACGGATTAAACTTGTGAGTGGAGGTTCCACTGTATTTTTAAATGTTTATACAGTAGTGTACTGTATATTGTAATAAACAGAATAGAGGAAATCAGCTCTAATATACATTATTTAGGTATGCATACTGGTCAGAGAGCCCATCATACGTCTGAGTCGCTGGTAAACGAGTACATCGCTAAGTGAGGAGAAAATGTAATTATGAGAGTAAACCTACTATCTGACTTATGACCTGCTCGACTTAAGAACATAAGAACATAAGAACGAAGGAACACTGCAGAAGGCCTACTGGCCCATGCGAGGCAGGTCCAAGTCCCTACCGGCTTAAGCCAATGCACCCAACCTAGTCAGGTCAGGTCACATTGACTTAAGGGAGGAACACGGCAACCGACCTGTTAGCACAAGCTATCAGGTCTAACTCACACCCACCCACATCTACTCATGTATTTATCCAACCTATTTTTAAAGCTACACAACGTTCTGGCCTCTATAACGGTACTTGGGAGTTTGTTCCACTCATCCACAACTCTATTACCAAACCAGTACTTTCCTTACAACCACTCGACTTACGACCGTGTTTTTTTTGCAAAATTTCTGGGAAATAAACAACTATTTGTGTTGTACACAGTGTTTATCCTAAACCTGACAGTATAAAATACAGTACTAACAGCATAAAAAGTAAAGTAAAACATGAAATACCAAAATAAAACAATAAAATAAAGTCATTACAAAAATGTGATGTTGATATTCAGTAGTAAAGTTCGACTTACGTCCATTTCGACTTACAACCGGTTTCTCGGAACCGAACTCAGTCGTAAGTTGGATGGTAGGTGTACATATAAAATATGCAATAACTTTAAAACCTTTGAAATTTTGAAAAGTTTCCAGACATAATGGAGACGTGCTCACAGAGAACACAAACAAACCAGGTGGAGTGCAGTGACCATATTAGAAAGACGGGGAGCTGTACAGCGAGTTTTGGTCATAAATTGAAATGTCCGTATTAGTGGAATCCCGTAAAGCGAAATGCCATAAAGTGAAATGCCGTAAAGCGGGGCCCTACTGTGTTGTGCTATGAAGGAGGGGTGAGGATGATGCAGTTCAGAAGGCCATCTGATCTGTGACGTCAACACGCTTCTGGCACGTCAGCAACTGAATAAATGATGTAAAATGTGCTTCCACTTGCCTAGCTGACATCAATGGCATACAACTATATAGAAAGCTGCTTGTTATGTAGAGCATTTTGGGCAAGTTAGGTCAATTTTGTCCCAGGATGCGACCAACACCAGTCGACTAACACCCAGGTACCCATTTTTTACTGATGGATGAACACAGACAACCAGTGTAAGAAAACATGCCCAATGTTTATACCCTCGCTGGGAATCGAACCCAGACCCTCACCATGTGAAGTCAGAGCTTCACACAGGGTATTATAATAAAAAAGGGTATTACAATAAAAAAAACCATAATAATATCACACCTAGATAGTAGGTTAGTAGACAGCAACCACCCAGGGAGGTACTACAATCCTTCCATGTGAGTGTAAAACGGAAGCCTGTAATTGTTTTACATGATGGTAAGATTGCTGGTGTCTTTTCTGTCTCAAACATGCAAGATTTCAGGTACGTCCTGCTACTTCTACTCACACTTATGTCACACAATACATGCATATACAAGCATATATATACACACCCCTCTGGGTTTTCTTCTACTTTCTTACCAGTTTTTGTTCTTGTTTATTTCCTCTTATCTCTATGGGGGAGTGGAACAGAATTCTTCCATGCATGTTGCAAGAAGTGACTAACATGCTGGGAACAAGGGGCTAGTAATCCCTTCTCTTGTATAAATTACTAAATTTAAAATGAGAAACTTTGTTTTCTTTTTGGGCCCCCCTGCCTCAGTGGGATGCAGCCAGTTTGTTGAAAGAAGAATAATAATAACATCACAAGGGACTGAAGACTGGTTTTCCTAACAAGGTACCTGTATGCTATGGAACAATGCTGTTACACTACAATTTGCCCCAAGTTAACATGTTAATAGTGTTTTTATTTAGATGTGCATTCTAGTTATTACGAACACTCATAAATATAATTAATGGCAATCAAATACAATTTATAAATAATAAAAGTAAAAACCATTTTTTATCAGTGGACTGTATTACCTCTAAATCCATTTCTTCATCATCACTTTCTTCAAAGTCTACTACAAACTCACGCTCCACCTCACTCTCATCATCGCTATCCATCTGTAATTTAAAGACTATGAAATAATGCATGATCAATTACAAATAAAAGCCTGCACTCTTAATAAACTTTATACTTTACAAAGCTCAATGGAAACGGGTAAAAAAGATTAAATATATCAGGTGGGACTCATTTATATAAATGAAGAAATTCCTAAAAATATGTATGACACCAAAAATCAATATTTTTACGAACTACAATACTACAGTGTGTTAGGTAAAAGGACACAAGTGCAATTAATGTGACATTTTATTGTCGGTAATTCTACCACAGTTAATACACACTATCCTGTACTGTACAATCAGCCCTCTACATCTTCAGATTTAAATTATTCAAAATTTTTCCTCAAAAGGCTCCTGCATAAAAAGGTGAAAATTTCACTTTTTTTTCAGTACCTGTTTTGTTTTGACTTAGCACTGACATTAACTGAGGAACAACAGCCGTTCACCTCAGACCAGGAGGGTCAAGCCAACCCTCTCCACACCTTTCAAGACCATGTACCAGTAAACATAATTTAAGGTAAGATTACACCACTACATTCAACTACAATGCAAGTTATGAGAAATATTATTAATTTGTTTTTGAATTACAACTTGCATGGGTGGGTTTTTTTGGAGATGCCAAAACATCACCCATTTTGTGCCATATATTGCGAGGAATTTAACTATGGTGTTACGTATTTGAGATTTTTCTGTTCATTAACAATTCAATCTATCCTTTATTTTCATGTGTAAGTTTACACTTGCCAGTGATATTAGGTCTAGCGATTATGATAATGATCCATATTTGTGAAAAAATATAGAAACTGTGGTAAAAACATGCATGCTGCCAGAATTTCTCCCTCAGTCAATCTGCCAAGACATTTATATCTACTTGTTTTAGCACAAATACACAATCTTAGTTTTCACAATTCACCCTATTCACTATTGTTACATTTGTTCAAGATGTACTTAATAATGAAGCAAAAGCCTTCATTAATTGTGAATCTGACTCGGGATGACTTTTTTTTTTTTCTTGGTAAAAGCAACTCCAATGATGTCCAAACAACTGATAATACTAATTTTTATTCAAAATTCCTACACTGGCCCTACTCATCTCCTGCATAAACATTTATTAAAAAAGTATAAATCAACCTTCTCTTACCTCTTGTCTTCTTTCTTCCTTCATAACTTCTTTTTCAAGCTGTTGCTCAACATCTTCATCAGTTTCAACTTCTTCCAATTTCTCATCCACCTCTTCTTCCTCAATATCGCTCTCTTCTTCATCCTCATCTTCAAGTCGAACATTAAATGCTTCTTGAGGAAAGTTGTAGATGCGCTCATACTAAAATAAAAATAATTTCTTGTATACAGAACAAGTAATACTTTCTTTCTTTCTTTCAACACATCGGCCGTATCCCACCAAGGCAGGGTGGCCCAAAAGGAAAAACGAAAGTTTCTCCTTTTACATTTAGTAATATATACAGGAGAAGAGGTTACTAGCCCCTTGCTCAAGTAATACTTGCCAGTGTTAAATACAGTAAATTCTCTCATATCACAGGATTAACTATCACATTTTTAATAACAAGTAGTTCATATTTCTTTTGCATAAATATTCTTTCACAATTTTGACTGAACGTTCACATCATAACCTTAGGAAAAAATGTGAAATCAGGCTGATTCCTGCATGAAAAACTTTTCTCTGCCTTGGATGTCGCTATTAACCCTTAAACTGTCCAAACGTAGATCTACGTTCACGTGTGTAGCGCTCTGAATGCAGATCTACGTATTATTGTACATGCTTTCAGGTGTAAAAAAAAAGTAGATCTACATTCAGAGCGCTACGCACGTGAACGTAGATCTACGTTTAGACAGTTTAAGGGTTAATAGTTTTAGGAGGAGGCTTAGCTTGGTCCCCATCCCCCCCTCATTGTTTACTGTACAGTTACCCCATGTAGTCAGTATGTGGATATGTCCCTTATCATTCTCTATAGTTTATTGCTCCACATTTTGAAGGTTGTGTTTTTACTGCCAAATATCTTATTGCAACCACTGGAGTGATTAGATTTAAATGCCACTACATATGCAAGAAGGTGCAGAAACTTCTTGCTGCAATAACTGAGGCAGAACCTGGCGTGCTCAAATCCAAGCATAAATTTAAACAGTACAGATGCAACAGCCAACATTAAAGTTGAATGAGATCATTTGCCACAATCAACATTAAATGCAGGCTGGGAAAATTTATAGCCTACTGTGGTTAATAATTTCACAGATTGTCCACTGGTACTCAGGTCCAGGATCTGGTAGGAATGTGCCAAGTTAGAGCTTAGAAGATTTGCACCCAGAAGATGTAAATGAACTCTTAGATGTCAAACAAACTGCAGAGGAAATGTGGAAGAACTCAATTTCCAGACAGAAGGGACGTAGATAACAGAACATGAGAACACTAACTGAAACAGTTCGACAATCTTCAAGACCTATGTGAGATATTGCATTGTGTACAATATGTAAAATTAGATGCTTTCACTGAAAAGGATCCTGACTCATCCAGAAGCGTTGTTGTGAAGTAGGTGATTATGTTTTATTGTCAGTTGTATAAAGTGCTGCTGGAAAAAGCGTGACAGAATTCCTGAAAACTCCAGTAAGTAACAACTCTACACCAACCTCAGCCATCCACCTCATTTCTTGCACACAACACCCAGTCTCCTCAGCCCAGCAGGGCCACGGTAACCCTCTCCACTGTTGTCCAGATCAACAGACATCAGCAACCAGAATTTAAACTACAATAAAAAAAATATTAACATACGAGCCATCTCCCACTGAGGCAGGGTGACTTAAAAAAGAAACCACTTTCACCATCATTCATTCTATCAAAGGCATGATAGTCACTGGTGAAGTACTGACCTCTGCCCATTTTCCACTGACAAAATGCCCTCAGGATCACATCAAGAACAAAGTTTTGGTAGGTAGTAACAGGTGATAGTGCTGGCAAGAGGTGGTGATGCCTGCCTGTTGTTTGTACGGGTATTGTATTATGCCCACTTTGTTCAGCTTGGCATAGTAATGCCACAGCATGCCTTTCCATACCTTTCAGATTAACAAGCAGCAACCTCTACAATGTAAGGTATCAAAAGTCCCATTATTTTGACAATAAGACCATTTAAAAAAAAATTTGCCTTCTTCAGACTTGTCAGGGACCTAACTCTTATTTTCATTACATATAATGAAATTACACATAGGATCAATTTCAAGAACATAACACTTGTGATGTAAGAATTCACTGTACAGGTTGGCTATCACTAATCTGGCATCATTGAGACCTGTAGGGTGCCAGATTAGGGATTTTGCTGGATTACAGAGTGGTTAGGTTAGAATACACTTAACCCAACAGCTATATTTACGCATCAGCGATTTCACCCACTTAATGCCCTATTTTTGGCCCATTCCATTGTTCCAGTATACTAAACTCATAGCTATTTTGCTAGTATTCTTTCTATTCTGTTGACTGAGTACAAGAAACTACCCATAAAGTGGTCAGAAATTGGTAATTTGGCCAATTTCACACAAATTCCAAAAATGCCAATTTCGAAACAGGGTCCAGAATAAACAATGCAGACATTCCTAGCATTAAAAAAGCATTTTCTCTGTTCATTAGTCATGTCTCTAGGCCCCTCTTATATTATGCGTGCTTTCCATTTTGAATTTTTATTCACACAAAAAATAGAAGATTTACTGTTATGCAGACTACTGCATTATTGTAATAATTGCATAAATAATGTCAACCCATTCATGACTGCATATTAGACCAGCCAGTTGGACACGTATTGGATGGCAATATTTGTTTACTCCTGAACATCTGCAAAAATCAAACATATCCACTATTTTGTCCTCAATTATAAGGTACTTTCAAGGGTGAAACCAATCAAAATTATATTTATTTTTGTAATATATCTTCCATTCTATCAAATGAGATAAAAAAAAACGAGAATACAACCATACAAACCATACGAAAATACACCACAAAATCAGGTTTGCACCATAAACATGATCACAGTGTGAAGTAGGTCACTGTGCTTCTAAGGTCTCTGAAGGAGACCTAATTAACCAGTAAATTGTCATACACCTTGCCTTGGCAAATAGCTGTCAGACACGCCTCTTGGCTTAAGTCTAAGGTCTTTTGTTCTTGACGGGTGTCAGGTCTTAAAACGTGGTGTAGTACTCCTCATAAGGAAGGGAGGTGCTTTAAGGACCATATAAGGTCAAGGAAACAGCTAGAGAAGGGAAGAGAGAGGTCGGGACAGGTTCGGTGAGCAGGAGCCCTGGACAGCCGTGTGTTTAGGGGACTACACATTGCGAATCTTGGGTCAGCTTGTCGGTGAATTAACCCTTTCAGGGTCCAAGGCCCAAATCTGGAGTCACGCACCAGTGTCCAAGATATTTCAAAAAAAAAATTTGTTATTTTTTCTTATGAAATCGTAGAGAATCTTTTTGTGAAGATAATAAAACAAAAAGTACGAAAATTGGTGGAAAATTGACGAAATTATGCTCTCGCGAATTTTTATGTGTCAGCGATATTTACGAATCGGCGATTTTGCCGACTTTGACTCCCATTTTAGGCCAATTACATTATTCCAATCAACCAAATTCTTAGCTATTTCACTAGTATTACTTCTATTCTATCGATTGAGCACAAGAAATCGCCAAGTCAACTGTTTCAACTACAAAATAAAGTGATCGGAAATTGTTAATTTGGCCAATTTAACACAAAGTTCAAAATATTCCAATTTCAAAATAGGGTCCAGAATGAACAATGTAGGCATTCCTGGCACTAAACTAACATTTCCTCTGTTCATTAGTTATGTTTTGAGGCTTTACAAATAAATTCCATTTTTATTTTTTATTCACATAATGAATTTTTATTCACACCAAAAAATAGAAGATTTACTGTTATGCAATACTGTAATAATTGTATAAATATCATCACCATATTTGTGAATGTATATTAGACCCACCAGCTGATGTGTATTAGACGTGTGAGGTCGTTTGTTTACTCTTGAATATCGGCAAAAATTTAACATTTCCGCTACTTTGAGCTCAGTTTCAAGCCATTTCCAATGCTAAAACCAATCAAAATCATCTCTATTTCTGTAATATGTCTTCCATTCTATCAAATGAGACCAAGAAATCGCAAATACAACTATAAAAAACATACGAAAAACCACTGCAAAGTTGCTGTTTTAATCGAAAAATCATGATTTCATTTTTTTTCTCTCATTATGCACAGTGTGCTGCAGGATCTGTTTTATGTGGTGCATACATACCACATAGATGCATTCTCTCATATCTAGGCCCAAATGTACCACTCACAGTTTATCAGAGTGAGCTGAGCTCATGGCGTAGATCTACGGTTTGGACCCTGAACGTAAAGCCGTAGATCTACGGGACGGACCCTGAAAGGGTTAAGAGTGAGTACAAGTCCATGTTACTGATAACAGGTACCCTTCCCCTTGGTAATAAGTATCATAGGTCAATTATTATATGTATTCTCTGTAAGGATATGCTGTATTCTCACTCTTGTTATTAACCCTTTGACTGTTTCAGGCCCCTTTCTGAAACTGTCATTCTATGTCGCTCAATTTTTGAAAAAAAAAAATTATTTTTTCTTATGAAATGATAGAGAATCTTTTCCCGATGGTAATGACACCAAAAGTTCGAAATTTGGTCGAAAACTCATGGAATTATGCTCCCGCGAAGTTAGCGGTCTCGGCGACATATGCGTATCGGCGATTTCGCCGACTTTGAGCGCTATTTTCAGCAAATTCCATTGTTCCAGTTGACGAAACTCATAGCTATTTCTTTAGAACTCCATTTTATCTATCAGCTGAGTACAAGAAACCTCCCATTTACTAATTTGGACTACCCAATATGGTGGTCAGAAATTTGCAATTTGGCCAATTTCACGCAAACTAAAAAAGATGCCAATTTCAAAATAGGGTCCAGAATAAACAAGGTAGACATTCATGGCACTAAAATAACATATGCTCTGTTCATTAGTCACATCTCTAGGCCCCTCTTATATTATTATTGCTTTCTATTTTGATTTTTTATTCATACAAAAAAATACAAAATTTACTGTTATGCAGACTACTGCATTATTGTAAAAATGGTATAAATAATATCAGTGCACTAGTGAAAGAATATTAGACTCCCCAGTTGACGTGTATTGGACGTGTGGTGTGATTTATTTACTCCCGAACATTGGTAAAAATCGAACATTTCCGCTACTTCGAGCTCAATTTCAAGGTCATTTTCATCGTCAAAGTAATGAAAATCATCTCTATTTCT